TTCTTCGAGGCACCAGTCAGAACCAGACGCCACAGGACACACTGACTCGGTGGGTTTGTGCCATCCTCTCTTCTCCACTCTCCCAGCTTCTAGAACAAAGCCTGGCACACAGTAGGTGTTTAATCAATGTTTGTTGAAGGAATGAATGAAAGTCTTAATTTGCACTGTTGGCATATCTCCACACACTGGCACCCCTACCGGGGGCCGCTGTCCCGTCCCCCACCCCCTGCCCTCCATCCAGGAGCGCCATGACCTTCAGTCTGGCTCACAGGATCGACAGGGTTCACGGCCTGATTGTGGAAATGTTGCTCTTGGAAGGAGGGCGGGTGCAATGACTGCATTTCCTTCTTGACACACTTCCTTATCGGATTCAGATAGGAATGTCATGCAGGCACACCTCTGAGCCACAGTCATTTTAAATTTTCTTGTAGTCACATTAAAAAAGCAAAAAGGAATGGGTGACATCAATGTTAATAGTACCTTTTATTTAACTCAGTATGTTGAAAATAGGATCATTTCAACATGTGGTGAGCATGCAAATGATTCTTAGCTATTTTACATCCTGTTTTCTGGGCTAAGCCTTCAAAACCCAGTGTGTCTTTACCCGGGAGAGTGTGTCTCAGGACCCTCTGCGATCTGGGCTGGGGAGCTTAGGACAGGGGGTGGGAGGTGGGGCAGCTGGTGTCTGGTGTGTGCCATGTCCTTATTCTGCCCTCGCACGCAGGTGACAGCGTGCCCCGGAGGATGCTGTGCCTGAGGGGGGAATCTGAGGGAAGAAACCCTCTCCCTGGACACGTGGCATGCTGCTGGTGACAGGCCAGGTGCCCTGAGATCCGTGCTCATTTCTGGGAGACCTGTTTCCTCTAGAACTTAAAAATATCATCTGTTTATTCTGATTACTTAGAAATTTCATGATGATGCAACTCACGGGGTTTCTCATTCATGTGTCTGTTTGCTCTTCTTTTGTGTGGGGCAGTTGGCAGGCCTGTGGGAGGTGGGGCTTCTGGAAAGTGCTTTGTGTTATTTCTTCGTGGTGTCTTCCCATCCTCAGATACCTGTTTGGAGTCTCTGTCACTTGAGGGCTAGACCTTTTGCACGGAGCCTCCACCACCTCTCTCTCACCTTCTCCTTCCTAGTTTTTATCTCTTGGATTCTGTTCTATCTTCTGAGAGATTTCCTCAACCCATTCTGCCAGTCATCTATTACGTTTTGAAAATTGCAGCTAGTGTAATTTTAAATTGCAGGGCTCTTTCTTGTTCTCTGCCTGTTCCCCCAAAGTTTCCGTGCTAGTTGTGAGGGTCCCTCGTCCTCCCTCTGCTGTCCCTTTAAGGACATTGCGCGGTTAAGATGTTGCTGAGGTTTCCTTCTGTTCTCTGTGCCAGCTCTGCTTCCTCCGGTGTCTGCTTTTCTGCTGGTTCTTCGTGTCTTGAATGTGTCCTGGGTCCTTCATTTGCATCCAGGAGCAAGGTTCCAGGACCAGCTCGGTGCCCATCCCATGGGCATGGTTTGCAGCTTTGGATTCCTGCAGCCTGTGAACGGCAGGGTACACTCGGACCGACCCACACAGCTGCATACTCAGTGCCAAATACAGTGATGTTCACAGGACTTCTTATTAATATAGTGAAATGCTTATAAGCTGTGGTGAGAAAAGCTGGATAAAAACTATATCAAAAGTAACCAATTAAGGCACAGTGAGGAGACCTGGGAGAGACTAGCCTGTAGTGCCAACAGTGGCTTTGTGGGGGGCGGCCACCATCTCTTCGCCCTCTGCCTCCTGTCCTGCAGTCCCCCACTGTCTGGGTTCCCCTCCCCCCACCCTGGTGTATGCCCAGCAATGCCCAGTCTGGCCCCGCTTTCCTTGCTACTTATTGTCTGGCCCCACAGAACATGAGGGTGGAGTGTCTGTCTGGTCCTCCCCCTGCAGGCAGGCAGGCACTGGGCCTTGTGGGCAGTACCAGCTCTACAACATTTGGCCAAATGCCTGGGCAAACCCAACGCAGATGGACGGGACCCGCATTCGGGGACCGGGAGAGAAGCAGGCAAGAGGGCAGCTCCCCCACTCTAGCCCACGCTGGAGCACAGAGCCAGCACGCCTCCAGGGGTGCTACCCCCACTAGGACCCTTGGGGACTCAGCAGAGGGCAGGCGCCTTCCTGTCCTTAGGCCCCTGGACTGCGACGTGGGAAGGCCCAGCCCCTTTGCGTTTCCCAGTCTGTTTATGTCCTATCAATTCCGTCATGTAAATAGATGTGGCCCAGCCCAGGGAAGGGGGTCCCACCCCCATCTGTTCCCTCTCCCTCCCACTTCTGATCCCTACTGTGTCTACGCATTTCAGGTGTTGCCCCCCACACTCCACCTCATGCACCTCCGTTTATTCTTCCATATCTCTTCCCGCTGGGACCCAACTCCGGTCCTTGGACGGGTGGTGCTTACCTTGGAGTGCTGGGGCTCGGGGGGCCATCCTGGGGAGAACAAGGTGCAGAGAGGGCGGCACCTCTCTGAAGACCCACGCAGGCACTACCCCCTCCCGGCTGCTCAGACCCACCCGCCTCCAGGCAGAACCAGCCGCTTCTCCCCTGGTCCTCACTGTGACCTGGAGGTGATCCAGGCTACCCACTGGCGGCAAAGCCGACCAAGGCTGGAGGGCACAGTTTCTGGAGGGACCGATGTAGCTCTGTGCCCGCCCACACGGGTGCCCCACCTGGGGGGGAGCTGGAGGAGGGGTGCAGGGGCAGGGAAGAGGTGGAGGTCTTTGGGCCCCCCTCTCTCAGCATCTGCACCCTGAATTTGCACAGGCAGCCCCTCTGCAGGCAGAGCAACTTCCTGACCTTTGTCTCTGACCTTTGCCTTCAGGCCATTGCCTAAACCGAAACAGAAAAGCTGCTCTGGGAGCAGGGTTTTAGGTGTGCTGGTAAGCATGGGGGTCCGGAGGGCACCCCCCAGGAGCACTCCTTCTGGGGCTTCAGTGGTGGCGCAGCACAGCTATCTGCAGGTGGCAGGACCAGCTTCCACTCTGCTCCGGGGGCTGGAAGGTGAGGCCCCCGTAAAACAGAAATAGAGTGGGGAGAAGGGCCCCAGAGAAGAAGACAGCATCTAACAGAAGAGCTGACCCACTGGCCAGGAAGGACATCCCAGAGTGATGGTGGCCAGAAGGTGGTTGGCAGTGCAGAGAAGACCCAGACAGACTCCAGAGAAACGCAGGAGCATCAGGATTTGATGACCTCAGGACCAGTGCCAGGTGTCCAGCAGGTGGGTGGGCAGAGGAGGTGCATCCAGGAGATGGGAGCAGCCCAGGGGAGAGGGCTCCAGTGGCGCCCTGCGAGTGTGGCAGTGGAGACCCCCGGAGACCAGGGCAGAGCCCTGGGAGCTGTGTGAGGGGAGTGCCACCCTGCCACAGCCACAGAACTTGGTAGGAGGGCATCAGCGTCACTGTCCTGGGATGCTGAAAGGCCAGGGAAGATGAGGCCCCAAAGTGTCCATGGGGTTAGTCACCCTGAGTCACCGTACGTGGAGCAGGGACTGCTGTGTGTGGGGGTTGATGGCAGGTGAGGACGTGGACCAAGCAGGGGCTGAGATGCTGGCTTTAGACCTGGGGCGAGGAGAATCTGGGGGCGGCAGTCTGGGGAGGAGTGCAAGGCGCAGGGCGCCCCCTTTGGCAACAAGACCAGCAGTGAAGGACCGGTGATGGGGGGTGAGGGGTTGCAGCCCGCTGGGGCGGGAGTCGGGGTCACTGGGGCTGTTAGGTGAGCAGCACTGGAGGGGGCTTCGCGGCGACCAGGGCCCTGAGACTCGGTCTGCCCGCCACCCCAGGGCAGCCTGCTCTGCGGCGCTGGAAAGACGTGTCACCCCGTAGCCGAAGTGGGGAGTAAGTGGGGGGCCGGCCCTTCGAGCAAATCGACGCAACACCGGGGACGCGGAGGGAGACAGGCGGGGCTGCGGCTCCCAGACCCCGGCGGTCCGCCGGCGGGGCAGCCGTCTGTCGGGCGAGGGCGAGGGGCGGGGGTCTGCACAGCCAGCTCTGCGGCTGGGG